TAACTAACCTTGTTAATAAGCCAGTTCGAAGCCATGGTTGAACATACATATAATCTGATGATTTTTTAATATGTTTCGTACCAGAAAAAAAATGCTAATATGAATTAAAAATATATAATTGCCTCTTAAGGAGAAGATAAATAACAAACTTCAAGTCCAACTGGATGAAAAAATGCAAGTAAAGGATATGTACCGAGCCATATGCAATACAGATCTTTATGTTTTGCATATCCATAAATTTCAGCAACTCTTTTTGTGAACTCTACATAAATATATATATGTATCATTAGTTTTTATGTGAAATTATTTCTTACTATATGAATCTAATGGTAAAGTCAATATATCTCCTAATATCGGTAATTTACTTGGTAGGCATGGAATGTTCTTATAAGCTTGTGATATTTGAATATAGTGGATAATCCATTGTTTGAATATAAGGCAAATAAGAATAATAAGAATAATAAATAATAATAGAATTGATATAAATGTCATTTTGATTTATCTAAAATAAAAATTAATAATTATTCTGTTGTTTTGCAAAATTATATTTTAGAAAATAAATAAAAAGATAATTTATATCAGGCATATTATAATAGCAAAAAACGTGTATTTAGCAAGCAGAATTTAAATATATATTTATTTGAATATAATCAAAAAGTAAATACATTGATGAAAGATAAGTTATCATTCCTTGTTCTTGTTCTTTTGCTTCATCTTTTTATTTGTAGCGAGTACCTTTTGACTTTTAAAAATCGTTTCTGTGCTAATTTATTAGCTACTTGTTATCGAAATATTTGTAAATCATGCACATTAGGTGGTTGGTTAGTTGAATTATTATTTATATTATCAATTTCTGATATATAAAAAACATGATATGGTGGACAATCGACTAAATAATCATATATTTTTTCAGTACGAATGTGGCACGTTGTTTAACACGTGTCCAACGTGATACCTATTCGGTTTTACGTTATTCGCCATTCAAAATCGAAGGTGATTAAGTGCATTTGTGCACTCAAATGAATATAGTATGTTCTTATATATATTTCATTCTTAATATAAATGAAATACCTTATCCTATTTAGAATTTCTTTTTATGAATTCTTTATTATATGCACATAAAGTATCAGCCAAATATTACAAATACACAACTAAAGAAAAAAAATTAATTCAAGTAAAGAACAACTCATTTTTAGCTAAAATGATTGCAACAACGCGTTCTATATATTCTAAATCATGTATAACTGTTAATATTACAATACGTACACAAATTCAACAAGTTTCTATTCCATCAAATGTTCAAAGTAATCGCCTTAATTATCTACACACAGCTACATTCATTGAATCCATTTATTAAATGGTTTTTTTTTTATCTCTTCTTTATCTCAAAAATACATATATTCCATTGTATAATGATGCAATAATTCAGAATCAGTTTAATCAAGTCGAATGATAGATCTGAAGCATTAGGTGATTGTGGAACTATGATAACATCTTCTGCTCGAAGATAATCGAAAACATCTATATGAACATGTGATTCTTCATTATCATGGAAAAGTTTATTGGTATGGACACCTGATTTCTTGGATAGTAAATTTCAAACAGTTTTCCATATAATATTGATCGTCGATGATTTATCCACATTCAAATTGATGAACTAGGATTGGGCCAGTTACTTCAAGGAAAATGCAAAATAAAGTTTTCGAAGCAAACTTACTTTATGAAACCATTGAGCTCATCGTACAACTGTTTTTAAACGTAGGAGCTTTTATCACCAAAAACTGTACGTAGTTCATCATAAATAGTTATTACTTGAGTGTTAAGTGTAGCACACACTTTAATGTAGAAGCTATAGTTTTGCTTATCCATTTAAAGCATAGATGAAAAGTGTTAAGATTCGATCCAACTTAATAATTTAAATTTTATCCGAGCTGTACGTTCTTTTCAATATTCTTTGTTTCATATTTTTATATGTTTACATATATATGTAGTACTTTTTTATATCATTGAGAGATAAACTATTTTGTATGACGACCTACATTTTGAAGAGCAAGATATCTATGAAAATACGAAAATGAAATAACTATTGATTTTATACCTAAAACCACTATGCTTTTGTGAACCTTTATTTAACAACATTCATTTTCTTTTCAGCTTTTGAAGGCCGAAGAGCCGTAGTAAGTGCGCATTGGTCGAGTACTTATAGTACATCATAAACATGAACAAATTGCTTATTTTATTCAATATATTATACCACTACACTAATTATATGAAAAGAAAAGTTATTTTAATGTTCTCATAATATAGATCATATCGTTTTCGAATGGTTCGTATTAATCTTTTGTTACTATAAAAAAGAAAGACATATTGAATCGATTTATATTTTTATTTAATTTTTTTTCTTCTTTTTTTCATCATCATCATCTGATAATGATGGACATTTTCTTTTAGTTGATTCAGTCATACATTGATCAGGTAAATGACATACATTGCATTTGTTACAATGTTTTCTTTCTGCTTTAACACATCGTTGACATAATGAACAATGTTTATATGGTAAACCATCTTTTGATGGACATGTTTGACATTGAAGACAATGTTGATTTGTTAACAATGTATAACGATCACATTCAAAACAATATTTATAATTTAATTCATCTAATGGTGGACATTTTGATGGAGATATATCTGTAAACATTCGAACTGGTGAACCTTTTTTTCCTCGACATAAATTTAATGATGAAGTTGATGTATATTCAATTTTATAATCTAACATTTTTAAATTTGAAAATGCATCATTAATCCATTTTTCAAGAAAATATGGATTAAAAACAATTAAATTTCGTTGAATATCATCATTTGACTGAAATAATTTTTCAATTGAATTAGCTAAAGCTCGATGAAAACCACCAAATGGTGGATCAATAATAACTAAACAATTTTTAATTTTTGAAAGAAAATTTTCTTGAAAAAATTTCTTTTTTGAAAATATATGTCCATTAAACATATTATAAATAAGCATTTGTTTAGTTGAATAAAATGAACAAAGACGATAATCATAATCAAGTAAATATGAATGTAATTTTGTTTTATAACATGGACGATTCAGATTTTCAAATATTGTTGGACAACCAATACAAATTACACTATCCCATGAACCTTTTATGATAATATCATTGATAAGATAATCGATAAATGTTTGAGAAAAGAAAAATTGTGCATCACTACGTTTATTTTCAAGTGGTTGAAGAATATAACGACATGGTTGACGCAGTTGTTGACGTTTAAGAGATTCAGTATATTTATGATCAACATGATCGGATTGTTCATGTTCAGGAAACATAATGGAACAAGTATAACAATAATGACTAAAGAAATAGAAAATAATTTTAAATAAAATTATCGACTATGATCTGAACTTTCTACGATCAGAGGAGAGTGTTTCTGCAGATTAGAATAAATTTGTACTCGTGCGTATC